CTTGGCTTTCCGGTGAAAGTCATTCCCCTCCCTGCTCCTGCAAGAGATCCCTGATTGTGTCCTACTTGCAAGTCAGTGGAGTTCAAATGACTTGAACAACCTGAGAGCTGCAATTTCACAGGTCCAGCAAAAGTAAAAACAGATATTTGCAAGTAACACCACGAATGAGATAAGTGGTTTTGGCTTTGGATCAGTTCAAGAAAACACTTGTGTTGCTTGCATCACATATGTAAATTCCTAAACACAGGCCCAGCTAACCAGGATATTGTGGCAGGGTATGGGAAGCAGGGGAGCAGGTGGACATGTTTGAGCTCATCTGGGGGAAACCAAACCCCTGCCCCTACCACTTGCTCACTAACTTGCAATGAAAAATATGGCATTTGAAATGAGAGATAAATTTGTCTCTCAGAGCAGAGAGGGTAGATCAGAGGAAGAGCAGGGCAATGAATCAGAGTAGTAAGATTACAGATTAAAACTCTTGTGAGTGGGCAAAAATGATCAGGTAGACTAAAGCAAGGGTGCAAAACCTCTTCTAGCCTGAGAGCCAAGTTCCAGAGAAGCTCTTAGAAGTCCCATTCCAGTGATGGGCAGAGCTGCAGGCAAAGTGGGTGGGGAACAGTAATCCCAGACCCCCAGTGCACTGTAGCTTTAAGCACTTAGAACCCTTTAGAAAGGTCTAATGCCATGTGGCCCTCAGCCTAAATTCAAAAGCCCTCTGCATACAGTCACTTCAGACCACTGACTAGAGTGAGCTGTCCCTTTCCTGGCAGCCTGTTGCATAGGCAGAAAGGGGAGAGGGAAATGTGGGGGGCAGACAGAGAAAGGGGCAACACACTGACTTTAGCTGTGGTCCCAGCCCCAGCCATTGCTGGGTTTGGTCTTGCTCTCCATGGCCATGTGGTCCCTGGCAGATTACCCATGACAGAATCTGCTACTTGACAGAAAACAGGTTGCCCACACCTGCGTATTAAAAAATACACTCCTTCTGAATAATTGACAGGTGTCCACAAAATGGCACTAAGGACAGGTTTCATGCTTAGGCTGCGGATTAGAAATGTTTGATAGTATTGCAGCCTCTCTGCATGAAGGCTCCTAGAAAGATTCTGCCTAAGATATTAACAGGTTCAAGATCAGGTCACACTAAAATAATTTTTCATTGTTAATAGTCATGGTCTCAGAAGCTGGTGCTTGCTCTTCCATCTAAGCAGTATCCCTAGACTTTTAAGAAGCAGTCTTGAACAGTCCAGTGATTATCTGGAAGCCCTTCCAGTGATAATTAAAGGACTCACTTCATTTAAATGTAATCACTGGCATCAATTCTTAAAACTTCTTCAAGAAGCCGTTACTTTTAAAACACCAGTTTACTGGCACTGATTATTGTAGTTGCATGCAAATCTTTATACCTCTTCCATTGCATTTGTGCTTAAACAAAAACTGCAGTTTGAAGGGACTTATTGCAACTGTAGGAACTTAAGAACTCATGATACTCTGGGGGGATCAGAGCTTTACCAAATTGCATAGTCAAGAAAATAAATGCATCAGAACCTCTACAGAACTTAACATAGTGAAGTCAGTTCTTTGGCAAGGAATGGAGCTTCTTCTCTGCTGTCTCTAACTTTTCCCTTTCTTTTTTTATTTTATTTTATTTTTAAAATAATTTAATACAGGGCTTCAACCCTACTCCTATGTCCCTTTACAAAAAGGAAAATTACTATTAAAATATAAATTAAAAAGCTAAAATTCACAGAAGTATAAAAGCAACATAAAACAGTCAGCTAGATTAAAATTGCATTGAAAAGGCTCAGGAAAATGAAAACATCTTCATAGGGTGCTGAAAGTAAACAAGTTCTGTAGTTGGGGCACCACCACCAAAAAGCCCCTTTCTGTGGTAGCCCCCCCCCCCGATGTTAGAAGCACCTTAGAAGGCCCTCTGTTATAAGGATAGGTACATAAGAAACAAAGTGATCCTTAAGGTACCCTGTGGTAATCCATGAAGAGTTTTAAAATCAAACCCACCATTTTAATATGATCCCAGAAAAGGACTGGCAGCCAGTACAACTGGCATAGCACAGGCATAAGATTATGATAATATTATATCATGGTAGTCCAACTTGAGGGACACCAGCAGACAGATAAGCTGGTATCTCTCAGGTTTAGGATGGTGCACATTTACCATCATATCAGTAAGAATATCTGCAAATGCATAGTCATGTGTCCAGTCCTACATAATTGCCTAATTTTTGTGATACATATATACATAATATATATGTTGTATAACTCATGTGTTCATTCTTTCACTGGATAATTAACTTCTCCTAGATATGTGTGAATGTGGCTTCCCAAAATTCTCTGTCTTATTTGTAGGAAGCTAAATTTGAAAGGGGGGCAGGGATAGGTAGGGATCCCCATCAGCAACACACAGCTTCCCTTTTACCCCCCTGAGAGGGCATTTGCTTTTTCTTTGGAGGGCAGTCTGGCCCCCCTTCTGCAGCTACCACCACACAGGTGTGTGTGTGTGGGAGGGGGCAGGACAATGTTGTATCTCCTCCCAGGGAAGCGATAGAGTTAATGGTGTGCCAAAACTGGTCCTTGAATTTCCTCAATATTTTCTTCCCCCTTCCCATGAAAGAAGCTTCTATTTTTTTTAATGTTACGACTAAATAATTGTTTCCTCAATAAGAAAAGGAATGTCCCATTTTGCAGTCACATATCAGTGCGGGAACAATGTCTCTTGTTCTCCCATATTGGCCCATATGGGTAGAGGACCAAACTGGAGGAGTCAATGATTCTTCTTACCGTGTGCCTGTGCCTTCAGCCAAATGCGGCTGTTGGGTGTATGAGGATATGGATGATGACAGGTTGGTTACCTAGATAACTGCCAGCTAGTTTATCTCTCATCTCCCATATGCTGGCAAGGAAAGGATGCTCCTCGTCTGGATGTAGAAATATTTTGTGTATAGAAATGGTTATCACACTGCTTCAGATTGCCAAACGGGTGGCATTTTTATAACCGCCTGACCTGCACCTTTGCTGCCCCTGACCTGAACGCCTCTGTGGACCCCGGGCTGGAAAAGGGCACAAGAGTTCTGGAGCAAAGCTGAGGTGTGATCTCTGCAGTAACACATATGAGCACATGCGGAATGGCATAGGTTTTTAGAGGCGAGGCCAGCATCACTTCTTTGCCAGCTACTGAACTTGCAGTCCCTGCCAATGCAGCCAGGATTCAGTAGTGTCTGGAAACATGCAGAAATGGGAAACTAAATGATCAGGGGACTGGAGCAGCTTTACCATGATGAAAAGTGACAACATTTGAACTGTTCGGCTTGGGGGAGGGGCAAGTGAGGGAAGGTATGAGAGTGGGGTACACATTGTGTATGGTATGGAGAAAATGGATAGGGAGACATTTGTGTCCCTTTTTCACAATAGTAGGACCTGGGTTCATCCCATGAAGCTGATTGGTGGGAGATTCGGGACAGTTAGAGCTACATAGTTGAACTAGGGGATTTGCTTGCCTTGATGGCAGCCAGCATCATGGATGGCTTGAAAGGGGGATTATGGAGGATAAGGTTACCAAAGGCCATTAGTCATGATAGCTATACTGAAGCACATGGGGCCTTCCCATAAAGATCAGATTGGCCACTGTGTGAACAGGATGTTAAGCTAATTAGGTCCTTGGTCCAGTGCTAGGTGGCTCTTCTTATGGAACAGACACTGAAGACAATGGCCCTGTCCATATCTGGAATGCGGTCATTCATGTGCTGCAGTGTGGAATTTATGCAGGGAGAACCAAGTTAGATTTGGTGGGTACTAGCATTCCCCTGGGATTAGCCTTGCCTGTGTGTTTGCTGTCAGGACCAGCCCATTAGATCAGATGAGAGTTCAAAGGAGGACCCTACCACAAGTTCCCTCTAGCATATACTGGGATCAAGGGGATGAGTGTACCCTGACAGGCAGCCCAAGTCTGCCACCACAGGAGATGGACCTCCTGAATTTCTTGCAGAGTCTGAGGAGCTTGTGTGTCCTGGCTGGTCACAGCCCTGACTGGGGTGTCAACCAAGACTGCAGCATCATTCTGTCTGTCAGTGGCTGTTGGCTTCTTCCTTATCTCAGGATGTGCAGGAACCGATGGTGCTGACCACCTTCTCCTCCTCCAAAGTCGTGTCTGGTTCTGAGCCTGGACTGGTTGCAACATTTACTTGGACTTGCTCACCTTGTAGGTTAGCAAACTGACCAATATGAAGATATCAGAAGTTGTATCAAAAGGAAAATGTTTCTGCATAAGCTGCTTGAAATTCCTTACTATCAGTATCTGGGCTTACAATCTATTTTGTCTTTACTCTTAAACAGTTGATAAAGCAGTGTATGAACCACTGATAAAATAATCGATGAGGTGGACACAGTAGTAAAAAGAAAATAAATACAAGCAAAATACTGCTTAATTTTTAAAAGTTTTGTGTTGCTATTTCTGCAGAGGATTTGTTTAAAAAACTATATACAAGAAGATGTAAAACAAAACTAAAACTATACAAACAGAAGCAAAATTTGTTCTTTCCAATCAGTTGCCTGTTCTGCTCCAAATGTTTTATAATCTCTTTCAATTATAATGTTTCATAATCTCTTCCAATAAAATGGTAAGGATAAGGAGTTGTGTAAATTAGCCAGCTTTTGTAGAGGATGGTGGGGCCACTCTTCCATGGAAGAGTTCTATGGCAACGATTCTTCAACTTACTGCTTTCCAGGCCTTCCAGTTCATTCTGTATATTTAAGATTTATGTTTTAATTCTGTGTCGGATTTCAAACCAGTCTTAGCCACTCCTTTACATGAAGATTGGCACAATTTGGATTCTTCCATCTGTTGTGTTATTGAATGTATTCCTCATATTGTATAAGTGCCAGTTTTGTTCATGCCATTTTATTCTCTGCATGTTGCCAACTGGTAGCTGGATATTTAGAATACTGGTTTTCTTATGTCTCACCACATTTTCCCCCCTTGTCATCAGATGTGGAGAGGAGTGGAAAGGAAACCGTTGCCACATGAAAGCCGAGCCTTCTTTGACTCCATCTACTGGTGCTCTGCAAAATGGTGGGTCCCATGAAATCAATATAATAACTTCAAGTGATTTTGTGGAAATGTTTGCTTATTTATCTCACTCGCTTGTCTCTGCAGATACATGGACAGGGTTGGGCATTGGATTAGCTGTCCTGTTGAGTGGAGCTGTGGTTGCCATTTCATGCATCCTTTCAAAGAGGAAATTGCCAAGAACGTAAGTGAAACCTTTCTTTCAGTTCAGAGAAAATCGGGCCATGGACTGGGAGAAAACAAGCAAAATATGGCCCATTTTCTTGATTCAGCTTTTAAATCTCACCTTTGGCAGTTTATTGACAAGAACAGCACAAAGGTTTTTTCAATCCTGAGTGACTTAAAGTGGCTATATAAGCGGACTCAGATGAGAATACATTGCAACTTGATTGCCTAAGCGAACTTGTGGTTTGGATGACATTATAAAGCCAGGTTTTCACAGAAATTAATCACCATTAATTACATGTGTTTATGGGAGCAGTGTGAGGAAGTGATTGTGGCTTTCTGAAAAGGCTTTTCAAGGGCAACTTGATCATTAAATGAATAGCAGCTTCTGGTAGCTCCTTACACCTTTGAGAGCAAATCTGGGTATAAACTCTATTTGTAATCTTAAACTTTATTTAACACTGAAAACTTAATTTAATTTATGCATACCAAAAATGTATGTACTACAGGAAATGCATAAATTAGAACTGTCTCCTTGTGTATGTATAATTGTGTGCAGTTTTCCCTAGGATACAAATTTCTGAATGCTTTTAAAGCAGAGAACTGCATCTCAAAATTCAAGGAAGTACAAAGACTGAAGGACATTTGTGTTCCAGTTCCAGTTCGTGTGTCAATTCAGGAAGTGTGGATTAGGATGGTTTGATTTAAAATATGCTCTAAAGGGGGAGTTCAGGGGGGCAACAGAAACCAGGAACAGAATTTCTGTGAGCTACTTCAGCCAGGGCATCATAGCATCTGTACAAAATGGCAACTGAGAAAATACTCGAGAATTCTGGTTTATTGGTCACAATCGAGCGAGTTTGCACATGTTGCCCAATTGCTCTCACTTTGCTCCTCCTGCAGAATTCACCAGTCATGGAAAGATCTGGGCTGCACCCGAGCTTGTGTGTCCTCTAGCACATAGAAACACAGAAACAGAGTGAGTCAGAAGGGGTCTCCTGGGCCATCTAGTCTGACCCCTGGCTCCAGCCAGCTTCACTCACAACATGCCCACCATGTGCATGTCTAGCCTATTCTTGAACACCCTCACCAATGGGGCCTCAACCAACATCAGGTAGCAAGCGGAAGTTTCAAGCCAGTGGTTGGCTTTTGGATCATGGCTTATTAGAAAAATGACAATCCAGGGTCTGGATGCAGACATAATGTTGTGCTTTCTGGGCTGCCCAGTTCCTGGTTATTGCAGCTGCTCCAGTCTGGAGGAGGAACGAAGTGGGAGAAATCAGACAGTGCTACCATTCGGGCAGCAGTCTCAGCAATTCCATCTCTCCAGTTTGTGCAGATATGGCCTGTCCTTCAGGGGTTGTGTTACAGGCAGAGTAAATGGGACACATAAATCATTGCTTGCATTAAGTAATTAAACTCAGAATGCCCTTTTGACCTCCATGGTGACAAAACAGAAATTTCAGGAGAGTAAGACCATCTGGTACTGACAGTGGCTTTAATTCAGTTTTCCTCTGTATGTCAGAACTAGCTCCAGCTCAGTCCAATTTATCCAAGAGAGACCCACAGATACATCCATGCTGCTGCTGCTGCTTCAATAGCTTCAGGCAACTGGCTCAAGAACACAGGACCGATACCCAAGAAGCAATTCTGACCCAAACAATGCCAATTCCAAAGCTTAGTTCCAGAGGATGGATGCACATAAAAGTGGCATGTGCTTATTCCAATTGCCCTAAATGTCTTTTACTGCAGAAACAGTCAATTCATGTAAAGTTTTGTGAAAGTCCTCTAGTCTACAAGTCTTGTACTACTTGGGGAGGTGGGCAGGGTGGGGAATGGAGTGCTGTTATCTGAAATGTGAGGGTCGCAGCATAGAGCAATTTGCATGCAAGTAAATTCTAAGGGAATGGCCAAATTGCATGCAGGAGATGGAGGCGAGGTGGACACAAAGAGCTTGGGACAAAATCATCATTCAGAACTAAAGAAAGAGATTTCTCTTTTCTTTTTTAAGACTCGAAGTCAGGAAGAACACATACAATCCAGGAAGACCTTGTTATTCAAGCAATGTATACCTGAAACAGGAAGCAATCTTAAACCCTTCCTGTTGAGGAGGATCCAGTAGATACCCTGGGGGGATGGGGCCGGTCTAGGCCTGAGAAGACGACGTTGCAATGTGCAGGTCGGAGTTTGCCATCCCGAGAGCCAAAGGTTCCCTCTTTGAAGTTTAGCCAGCTAATGCTGTTGACGTGAACACAAGAGAAGCCATGCTGGATCGGACCCAAGGTCCATCTAGTCCAGCACTCTGCTTACATCGTGGCAAACCAGGTGCCCACAGATCCTGCAAGCAGGACGGGTGCAATACGCCACCTGCCCAAGCTCTTCAGCTTTGGGTGTGTGCAGGCCTGCCACCTCTGGTGAAACAGGTAGTGCATAACCTACATTATGTACAGTACATTAAATACTGTCTTGCTAGCACTCAGTAATGGGTTTCATGCACCCAAACCATCTGAGTGAATCTTAGAGTATATGAATATAATTTGGGTAGGGAAAGAGAAAATGATTCATAGGCAACAGTTAGTTAATCTCTGAAATGCTAGCATCTGCTTTTCCTCATTGTTTTGAGCACAGTGTGACATGAATTGGCCAGAGCAGAGAGGGCTGCTATCCTCTGAGAGAGAGAAAATAAATTCCCTTCAGGAGAAATAGTAATTTATACTGCAAGTTTATAGTATAGTTTTCAACAGTGCAATCCAGTGTGGTGCTAGGTACTGAAAAGGTCTGGAGCTCAGACCCACAGGACAAAAAAGTGCAAATGTACTTATGTTGATTTACATGTGCTCTAAGGCACTGTGCAAGTGCATGTTTAAAGGACCCTGTTTCCTAAAGATACCTCAATTTGTTTAGTTTAAAAATGATGGTCCAGAGAGAGGCATTTGATTTCAGGGAAAAAGTAAAAACAAAAACCTCAAGCTGAAAGATTCAAGACAAGGGCAGGGGGCAGCAGGAGGTGAAGCACTTCTTAGGCAAAAAGCCTGCTGATCAGGAGGGAACAGATTCAGCAGAAATCTTCTGTCCCTGTGGACTGAACGGTGATGGGGCAGAGGGCACCCCAGAGATCTGGGTCTTCAAAGGAAAGATGTGGGCCTCCAGCCCTACTGGGTCATCTCCTACCACTGTCCGTAATGAAAAGTAATGCAGCTTTCGACATTAAAAACTCCACTATATATGTCAGAGAGATAAAGGAGTTCTCTAGAACAATCAATTTAAGTGCCGTCAACAGAAAAACAAAAAAGAGTTTGGGTGCAAAATTAACTAAATTACTAAATTAGTAATGAATATGTATTAGCAGTTGTGATGGTAGTAGTAGCTTATATAAAAAGTACATTTTACTACAACCTCAGAACTGCATATATGCTTATTCCTATATGTACTTTGTAAATTTATTTGTATTCTATAACATTGCCTTCAATATAAGCTGCACCAAATGAAGATAAAAGAAGAACTCTACCTGTACATTCTTGGTCCATCTCATAGCAGATTCTGAATGCATGTCATTGAATTGAATGGGGACTCCTAAATGGCAATCGTATACACCATTTGTATACACCACTGAAAATATTTACATTATTTTTCAGTAGACATCTTGCAGTTTGGGCTGCAGTCTAATACTTGGAGGTAAATCCACTGAAATTAGTTGGACTCTATACTGAGTAGGCAGGTATAAGATGCTGCAGCTGAATTCTCTTAGTTCTGTGCTTATGGCCTGCTTCACATGGAGCTTCATTCTTCTCAGTCCTCTGGATTTTCAGCTGTCCCTTGCAAGAGGTTATACCAATATGATTGTCAATTTCAGAAGGAAGGCAGAACTGGCAGTAATAGTAGGCAAGTCTTTCTCATAGGAAATCTGTTGCCAGTGGTTGTCAGTCAGGGGTGGGGCTGAACCAAAAAGTGAGCTGATCATACCTGTCCAGGCCTTTTCTCTTCCACCCCTTTCTCTCCCTTTCCTTCCCACCCACCAGGATGCCAAGCAATGGATTGCTTTTGCCAGCCACATGAGCTAATTGCATGCAAAGGGCTTTTGAAATGTTGCTGCAGTACATTGGCCCATGGGGTTCAGGTGGCCCACCTGTGAGCTACAGGCTTCTAACCATCAAGTATGCCTTGGGAAGATATATTTGCTGGCAGAGGGGATGAACAGATTTTTCAGTGTAAAATATTTCTCAACCCTTGGCCAATGTGGCTTCCAAAAAGCAAGCAAGCAAGCATTGCCTGTTGCCTTTTTGTATGTATATGAAGTATCTGGAAAAGGCCCTTGCACAACTGGAACTCCTACTGCAAAGGGATGGCATATCTCAAGCAAAGCCGACCCCTTGGGTTGGCAGAGAGTGTGGCAGGTGGCTATAGGAGCATCTCTGTGGCTCTGGGCTAGCATGGTGATGATGTTCCTATGCACGATTCTCTGAACAGTTAGAACATGAAGGCTTTGCATATCAATGGTGTTCAAACTCCAGAGGTTTCAATTTGGAGCAAAGGACGCGGAAATAGCTGGCAGCAGCACCTGTCTCTCCCTTTCATTGGCGGCTGTCCTCCTTGACTGAATGAGGGTAAAGCACTAGAATGCTTTCAGCTGAATGGTGTGTAGGAGGATATTTATGACCATCATTTTATCTCAAGGTTGAATTACACTTAGAGAAGCCAAAACAAATCCATTTTATCTAGCTTAACTGTGTTGGTTCCTTAAAGGCAATGACTATAGATCTAATTAGCCATTTTTTGAAAAAAAAAACGTGCATAGCTTCTGTCCGATAAATCACTCCTATCCAGAGGAACCAAGCTACATGCAGATATGGATTTTCCCATGTAGATCAGTAGTGCAAGTTGTTCAGTGGCTTGCTGCATTGAGGAGAAAGCAGCGACTCGAGGTACAAGCCTGCTCTTTTGGCCTTTGATTCAGAAGGAAGTCCCATTGGGTTCAGTGGGACTAACTTCCAGGAAAGTGGGTGCAGGGTGCAGCCCTAG